TATGTTGGAGTCTAGGCATCTGTGTTAGGGGAGATTATAATTCTTGGTGGTAATACCTATTCTTATCCTTGTTGGCTGGGTGTTTTGTTCTTTGGTTTCTGTTGCCCTCTCTTGTTCTTAGGAGAGTCTGTGGCTATGGGGTGCCTGGTAGGGAATGCTTCTAGGATCCTGGTAGGTAGGGATTTCATGTAAGAAATTTTTTCTAGGTATTGAGAACTAACACCTAGGAATGTGGGTGGGCTAGAGGTGAGTGGTGTTGAGGGGGTCCCCAGGAGGAAAGAAAGTAGTGTGTGCCTCCAGGATCCATATAGTCCCCTAGAAATGGGGGCATAGAGGGAAAAGAGGCCACAGCAGGTAGAGGTGAGGCTAGGGGTTTGGATTTGGAGGGAAGAAGGCAAAGTGAAAATTGCCTACCTGTTTCCCTGGCCACTGTGGCCAGTGGGTCCCAGGGAATGCATGAGGGAGTTGGTGTCAACGACAAAGGGATGGGTTAGTGAGGAAGGATGTGAGAAAGATCTGTGTGATCTCAATGAGATGGGTCAGAGAAGAAGGTGAGGTCACAGAATGTGGTCTGCTACAGAGCTGGGAGTGAAGCTGAGAGATTGCATTTGGAGGAGGAAAAGAAAGTGAAACCCTCTTGCTCCTTTCATTGGAGCCCCACATAAAAGTGATTGCTAATACCAACAAGGTCAATATCAACCAGTCTTGAAACTTCCTCAACTAACAAAATTAGTCTAAAACTTTTCGATTTAGTGTCAGGTAGACTTTTAGAAAGGGAAAAGGGCAGCCACATTATTTGCTGAAACATCACAAGAATGGTCTCTAGTCCAGTTGGTAATATCTTCCCCTCTGAGTCACCTAGAGCTTGGCCTTCATAGTCTACATTGATCTCAGCACTGCTGTCTTCTAAGCTCCCACTAGGGTAGCCATTAAGCCCCCTTAGAGCTCAACCATTTTGTTAGTCCAGAATCACCGAATCTTTTACCTTCCTCTAGAGAACAGTATGGTCAGGCTTGTCACAGTGATAGCCTGTCTCTTGGTACCAAGTTTTATCTTAGTTACTTTTATATTGTTGTGACAAAACACCATGACCAAAGCAACTTACAGATGGAAGAGTTTATTGGAAACTAACATTTTCAGAGAGTGAGTTGATGACCATCATGGCAGGGACCATGACAGCCAGCAGACATGTTTCTGGAGAAATAGCTAAGAGCTTACACCCTTATCTGCAAAGCCCCGTTCCTCCATGACACACCATCTCCAACAAAGCCACACTTCCTAATCCTTCCCAAACAGTTCCACCAGCAGGAGACCAAGCTTTGCAATATATGATGACCCTTTGGAGCCACTCATTCAAACCACCACACATTGTGTGTTGTGTTTTTATTCAGTTCTAGGATTTTGTTGTTGTTGTTTCCTTCTTGATTTCTTTAATGACCAGTTCATTATTAAATATTGTGTTGATTTACTATTTGTCAGTGGATATCAGTTGCAAATAGCTTCTTCATTAGGGTGTGATCCTGTAGGGTCCATGTCTCCCTCTCAACACTGGGACCCTATTTGGCTTGAACACATGCAGTCCTCCTTGTGCATGCTGCCATAGTCTCTGTTTACATGTACATCATTCTTGTTGTGTCTGGATTACACTTTCCTTGAGGTCATTTATCATGTCTGGCTCTTAAAATCTTTCTGCGTCTGTCTTCCTGTGGCTGCAGACTAGTGGCCCACAAGCTTTCAGGGATTCTCCTGTCTCTGCCTCTCATTTCCTAGTAAGAACCTGCATGGATGTGCAAACCCCACAGCTTTTCACTTGATTTCTAGAATTCCAGAGTTAAACTTAGGCCATCAGGCTTAGAAGCAAGCACTATTACCTGCTGAGTCATCTTGCTCGTCCTCATATGCTTCCTGTATCAGAGAGGGAAGCTAGAGTTTGATATACTGTGTGATATAATACGCAAGTGTGCCATTGGCACCAGCTGCACAATGTTTAGGCACCTGTGTGCCTCATTTGATGACAAAGCCAATTGTCAGTCATAAAAAAAAGACTTCTTAACAATATCTGCATTATGATTATGCAAATGAGTGAGGTCTGTACCAAAAGCCCTTGCCAACTTGAAAATTTGCCAGGCAGATGTAAATGGAGGCAAAGATATGGACAATCATAGACTGCAAGATAACATCAGATGGCCAGATGACATGTTCATGAAGTCCTGATCTCTTTTATGGTGTTTGCAGCCTAAAACTCTTAAATCACTGCTCAGATTTAACTGTTCGTGTTTAACACTGTTCATGTTTACTTGTTTTCATTGACCATAATCTGCAAATCTAGTGCATTTATTTTATTTTATCTTGCTTTTTATTTTTTGTTCTTTTGTTTTATTTTGCTGTATTTGGAGACTGGGTTTCACTTTGTAGCTTACTAGCCTCCTCCTCCAGCTTCACAAGTGGTAGGATTACAGGCACTTAACTAGCATATTTAGGTATGCGAAATCTGTTTTTCTCTTCCCTTCTTAGGTGTAGCTCTTTCTCTTAGTAGACATATTCTCCCTTGCATGTATGGGTAGAAGAAATGTTTTAATTGGCACATTCAAAGGTATAAAATTTTTAGTTAAAATTCCCACATAGCTTCTGCCATCCTTTTAAGTACTCTAAGCAGTTGGCAGTGACTTAGATTTGGAGGTAGATTACAAGACCATGTTGCCAATGTTGCCATAGTAAATGTATTTTTCCTACTTTTGATAGTAATTTCTACTCATTTTTATTAATTATAAAATTTTTTTCATCAACCTTTTTTAATAGAAATCTGTATCCAGTTTTTTTCATATTTCAAACATAAATGTACTTTAATAAAGATAATCCCATTTCTTCTATCTCTTTCAATGATTATTACAGTGAAAGGTAACACATGGATTGTGGGTGCCCCTAATGAAATGCTAAGTAGTGTAAATGTAAAGGGAAATCACCTTTTTGACATGAAAGAAAATCAACAGTCACACAAATTCCACATGATTGAAGTAAGTAAAGCATAAAGTATAACAGTCCCCATTTCGTGTTTGGCACATATATTAATACATTTTCAAACTGCAAACAATTTAAGACCAATAGATACTAAAACCAACTAGCATAGTAATAAAATGCCTAAAGGTTATGAACATCTTAAATACCTAATTCCCATATATAACTTCTGTTACCAATCATATCTTCTGTGAGGTTTGAGCTGTTCAACGCATTATTTGATTCAGGAATTCCCAGAATTCACTAAGTGTCCTACAGAAAATTCATGTTGAATCACACCACTCCTCTCTAAACTGGCGGATCTTTTGATGGCCTTCATGTATGAAAACACAGGTATACCCGACTCACAATTTTGAAAAAAATGGAAGGCCTTCATACATGTCACTTTTTAATTTTATCCAATCATTGATCTTCTGAAGAGTTGTTTTTTCTTGACTTAATAGTTTTGCAACTTTTTTCATCTTTTGATCATTTCTTTCTATATACTTCAACCCTTCCAGCTGAAGCTGGTCCAGCTTTTCATCTCAGCTTTCATCTAGGGGTATGTTTTCACATATCACAGGATTAAATCTAAAATACATGTCAGGAGGTAATAGGCCATCAAGCATTATATGGACTTCCTCTGTATCTGTAGCACTGCTGATAACATCAGAGAGCTTGGTCTTCAGGCTCGCGTATGTTGAGGTATTCCCCACATCGCTCTCATACCGTCCTGTGCCCAAAGATACTATACACTCAAGCGGGGTATCTGGCCAGATACATTTACATTCATGCAGGGCCAAGGCCGAAGGGTTATTCAGAAGTAAACCTCCATCTTGATGAAGATCATTCCCCAGCGCATATTCTGCAAAGTAGCCTGGGGCAGCTGATGAGGCTCTAATGGCCTGCCACATTTTATGCTGACAGCCTCCTAAATAGTGAGAGTTGGTGCCAGGAAAATGACCATAGTTTCTGAACACAAAAGCTTTTGGTGTCTGTCCTCTGTTTACTATGGTACTTATAGCAGCTACCTGAGACTGCTAAAGACACATGGACGTCTCCAGCCATCTTCTCTCCAGCTCCACTCCTAATTATAAAAATTTATTCTAGAAAAAATACTCACGTAATTTTGTGTTCTTTCATCAAACTTTCCTAGTCCCCAGATTTAAGGTTATCTTACACGTTTTATTTTTTTCCAGGCTTTTATTACCAAGTTCTTTTTCTCTTCTTGAATACTCTTCACCCATTCTTTGTTACTTAACCTTTCTTGTGAAAGCTTAATGACAGATTTTGCCTCTGGAACAGCTGTTCTGTACAACCTGAGTCCCAGATTGTGCTGCATACAGTGTTGACTGATAAGTATTTTGATCAGTATCAGTGAACATCTTTTACTAAGATATCGAATATCTTAATGCCACATCAAAGTTAATAAGTAGGGTTATTGTATAGTCAGAGTTCTCTAGAGTCACAGAACTTATGGAATGTCTCTCTAGATAAAGGGAATTTATTGTGATGACTTACAGTCTATAGTCCAACCAACCCAACAATGGGCAGCTGTGGATGGGAAGTCCAAGAATCTAGTAGTTGCTCAGTCCCAGGAGGTTGTTTAAGCTTGTCTTCTGTGGAAGTGGGTTCCAACAGATGTGCTGGCAAGTAAGTGCAAGTAGTCAAAAAAGAGTGAATGTTTCTTCTTCCAGTGTCCCTATGTAGATATCCAGCAGAAGGTGTGGCTCATATTAAAGGTGTGTACCATCACACCTGGATCTGGGACTTGTTTTGTCCCAGGCTGACCTTGTCTTAGTCTCCTGGGATTAAAGGCCTGTACTTCATATCCACTCTGCCTCAAGATCTCCATGCCAAGATCCAGGTCAGAAACTTGTGTCTTCCAGCCTCAAGATCTGGACCACAGGTGTGCCCTTCAATTCTGGATTGTAGTTCATTCCAAATATAGTCAAGTTGACAACCAGGAATAGCCATTACAGTTATATACATTAATCCTTCCCTAGGTCAATCAACTTCGAGGCATCCCTAAGCTCCTGCAGCTGCTCAAAGTTCAGAATGAAGATGTTCAGCGGGCTGCATGTGGGGCCTTGAGAAACTTGGTATTTGAAGACAATGATAACAAGCTGGAGGTAGCTGAACTGAATGGAGTGCCTCGGCTACTGCAGGTGCTGAAGCAAACCAGAGACTTGGAGACAAAAAAGCAAATAACAGGTATTTCCTACTAACTATTAAAAGGCAAACAGTGCAGAGCCAGCCAGATGCTTTACATTGTGTGTTTTTCTTAAGTCCCTTAGAGAGGGTGAGGAGGAGACTTGTTGATACACGCCACCAGAAGGCGGCTTATATCCAGAATTTGAACTCCTTTCTTCTGGAGGAGAAAGTATTCTGAAGTTTTTGCTTAATATTCTAAATGAAAAACTCTATAAACCTATGACTAGATGTTTATAAAACAACTTTTGACGACGTGAAAATTTTTCTTACCTTCACTAATAGCTACGTTTTGGTTTGAACATACATGGGGATTGATGTTACCCCAGGTATCCCCAACATTGCAGAGGAAAATGGGGAGCATGGCCAATTGTCTATTCAACAGTCAGCGTTCTGGATATGTAAGGGAAAGAAATGGAGAGGTCCATAAATGGCCATTGTTCAAATTGCTCAAAATGCAAAGAGCCGTTTTCCTGTCTTTCTGCCACCTAGACTCCTCACAGCCTTCATAGCTAAACAGATTTTTGAAATGAGTTACCACCAAAAGAGACTTTAGATTTTGAGATAATATGAGGTATTAAATGTCAGTTTTACTGTCAAAGAATCTGCAGCTCAAAGAATGTAATACTTTTAAAGTTATCAAAGGTTTTAAGAATCAATAATAATAGTTACCAGTGTTCTGGTAAATACTGTCTTTCTTACTACCAAGACTTGAACTCAGTCCATTGGCAACTTTGCTGCTAGACAGATCTCTTAACTTTTCTAATATAAAATTTTACAAATGTATCCTACTGAAAATATATAACACACACATACATACACACATATGTATGTATGTGTATATATATATATATATATATATATATATATATATGTCAGTTACATGAAAACAACTGCAGAAATGATGCCTTAATTTCAGAGCACACCTTTAAGATGTTAGGCACTGAACCCCAGGCTGGGGAAATTATTTTGATTTTCCATCTACTCAACTAAAGTGTGAAAGACTTAGTATGATAAAAGACCAAACCTTGCATTAGAACTCAGCATTTTCTTCATGCAGCAATGAACCATAAGAAAATCAGGCATATTCTCCTTTTCATAGTCAGAAAACCCTCTCGGGAGGAGGTCATCTCATTGTGGGTCTTTAAAGGGATGTAAGGGCTGCTGGTCACACTAAGGAAACATGGAAGTAAGTAATTGGGATAGTATACATAGTAGCAGGGAAACTTGGGTGAGGGGGTAATTTCAAGAAAATAATCCATTAATCTACACCTTTCTTGTACAGATGATGAAAGGCTCAAGTCAAAGAGCATCCTGTGGTGCGGATGCCATAGCAGCCATCCAGGCATCAGAGGGCATATGTACAGCTGAGGGGTGGAGGACAAGCCAAAGCTCCATACAGGAGGACATTTAATTGTATTAACTGTATTGAAGTGACTCTTTGGCATTTGACGCAAATTGCCCTAAATGATTCCTTTAGCTCTGGAACATGCTTTGTATGCCTCAGAAAGAGATTCTCCTAATATAGACACTTGTACAAAGTAAGAAACCTAAATATAAGTCTTGCTAAGTCTCAGAGACTGTTTGGCCTAACATAGCCACATTTACATGGTGAGATGCCTGAATGTGAGTCTCCATCTTATTGGGCCTGCTCTCAGTTGTCTGTGTCATTTCTGGCCCTTATTCTTCAGTGAAGATGGCACTTTGTCTTCACTGTAAAAATCTAGATTTTGCTATGTTAAAGTAAAGGGGATTTACTTAAGTAACGGTATTTTCTCTTGTAGTGGACAATATTAGTAAAATATGTGTTTTAATAGCTGTAAGACCCCTTTACCAGTTTCTCAGTGTTTTTCTTATATCATCATATTTGGCCATAAACTTATGGACAGTGGAATTCTTATAATTGCTATGCATTTAAATTATCATTACTGACAAGAATAAGTTTTCTTTTTTCTTCTTGGCTAAAATGAGTACCTATTGATAGAAAGCAGGTAGACCGACCTCAGCAGAAAGAGAGAGAAAGAAAGAGAGAGAGAGAGAGAGAGAGAGAGAGAGAGAGAGAGAGACTGAGACCTGGGTTCTGTGAGTAAACTTCTGTGAAGTTAAAATAGAGACAAATAAAAACTTAAACCCTAAATATTATGTTGCTGAATCAAAAATGTAATCATTTAAGTGACATCTATTCAGAGTCATGAGACTATATATATTAGCAATCATTAGACCATTGCTTTTCTAGTTGTAGATGACTTGGAGTCAGAGAGATGAGACTCAATTCCTGCAGAAGAGAAATCCAACAATGTAGGTGGAAAAGGAAAGCAGCCCTATGGGGGGTAGGGGGGAGTGTGGCACTATCCAGAAGGTAACAGGGCAGCAAAGATAAAACATAGATTTAGAAGGTGTTAAGCCAGGAATACTGGAGGGAAATGTATTCTAGCTGCCACTAGGAGAAATAGAAATGACCAGCCATTGAGCTAGTCAAGGCATATCAAGATTAGCTGGTGTGTGTGTGTGTGTGTGTGTGTGTGTGTGTGTGTGTGTGCATGTTTCATTCGAGAATCCAGAGAGGTCTTGGATGGGTACATCTGGATCCAGCACACATGTGACCCACTGGGAGCCAAAGCGGATTAACTAATTCACTGCTATACGTAGTACCAAAAATTTGGGGATTTTAGGGATTATATTGTTTCCCTAGGTATGCCATATAGCCTCGACTGGCCTTAAACTTGCCTCATTCTCTTGAGTATTAGGATTGTAAGCACCATGTCCAGAAAGAAACCATTTAATTTTCCACACAAAAGCACAGCTCTCATCACAAAGAGCGTGAGTAGTTTTTTCTGAGCTGGATAATACCACTATGTCCTAGGACCCAGAGTTAGGTTATCCCAAGTAGTCTAGTGTGGTAATGATTTCATGAATAACTTTGATAATAACTGAACAAAGTAAGGGTGGAAACATCAGGTGGGAAAGTTAAAGCTAAGTGAAGAAGTCTCTGGAAATCTTAGATACTTTCTGATGACACTCTTAGTCTTTGAATAGAAGTTGGGGTCTATTTGTATATTACAGAAGGATTTTTAACCGAGCCACAGGGATTTTAGGTCATACACAGAGGTAGCTAATAGCATGCTATTAAATGGATTAAAGATATCTCAAGATAATTTGATACCCAACTCAACCGCCATCATTGAAATTTCAACCAGTCTTATAGAGTATTTAATGTAGGTGCCCCACAACTTTTACTCAGAAATATAAATTTTTATAATCTATTTTGAGATTCTGGTGCAGTAAAGCTGGAGTGCAGCCCAGATTCTGAGCTATCACTGGGTTCCTTTGCAGACATCCAATCTAACACTAACTTAAGGATAGAAATCCTTGTTAACATATTGGTGTGAAGTGAGCTAATTTTATACCCAGCCCAGTTATAAAGAAGGATCTTTTGAGTAAGTCTTTCTGGTTGCTACAAAGTCTTTGGGTTTCTACAAGGTTTCTACAAGGTCTGCTGGTTCCCCCAAAATCTCCCTCCTTAAGACTTTCGGCTGTTGATTCTGGCTTTGCCTTCTGTAACCATAGAGGGTGGTCTTGATCTGCTTAACCTAGCCTTTCTTAGTGACTGGACATTGAGCATCCCCACATATAGTGACCCTATCATCTTTATAGTGACATCTTTCAACTATGTGCTAAGGAATTAACCCTACTTGTAGCTGATTGCTACTAAATTGTTTGTGTATGTGCAGAAGGGTATGTGTATATCTCCAAAGATACTTTTCCTTTGATGTTATGCCATCCAGAAATTTGGTGACCATAACCTAGGTATACATTAACCTATATTAACTTTTTAAAACTACACAAAACTTCCTAAATTATATATTTGTTTAAATATAGTGTGGCATGCCTGTCTAAGAAGGATATATATCGACTGTTAAAGGAAAATTCCATTCCCTTTGTTCAAGGTAATCCTCTTTGGTTTTTATGTAAGATATACTGAATACTTTGTATGGTTCTTTGTAAAAAGAGGAAACTTCACTGTGCATCAGATTTTTAAGCCACTGACAAGCAGAGAAACTTGTTGATTTGTTTGCTTATTTTGAACTCAAGGAAGTCCTTACCCATGCAGCCCTACCTCTCCCCCACATTCCCCTCTGGCTTTTTCTCCTGTTTCTCTCTTTTCTTTTGTAGCTTATTAATCAGAACTCAACCTCAGGCCTGCCTTTACATTGTCTCCAACTACCTTCTGAGTTTTATTCTTTCTGTCCCCTTCCAGGGCCTCTTAAGATGAAGTGAGAGGGATGAAGCCATTGTATTGCAGAACCCACGGCTGAGACACTGCTCCTGACTAACCCCAAATGCTAGTTTGATCAGGAAAAGACTTCCTGAAGTCCAGAAATCCTGTTCCCAGCAGACATCAGTCCTACTGTGACCATATCTAATCGAAGCTATGTGTAGACTGCATGAAAATCTGGTTGCTGTTTCAAAAATTATACACAGCCAAAGCAAACTGTTTAAGCCTGAAGCATTAGGCCTAATGTGTTTTAATTGATTAGGCCAAATGTACACAGAGATATGTAGGCCATTATTTTAGTCATTAAAATCAGGGGAGATGATATCACCTATCATAAAGTAGACATCCTATATATCTCCACTTTCATTGCAGTACACTTAAGAGGTAGGAATTACTGACTGAGAGGGTGGAAGAGAGTGAGATAAGAAAGGTGGAATCACCCCTTCTCTCTTCTGACCTCTTTGCCCTTTCCTGGATGGCAGTTAGTTGGAGCAGCCTATTAGAGACAAAGATAGCAAGACAACGTTACACATGGGCAAGGCCATTGTCACTGCAAAGTGTAGGTCCATAGTTCCTCCACTGAGAAGCATTTGGGTACCAAAGCTACATTTTTAAAAATCCAACACAGACATATAATTTTCTGTTATCATTCAACACCAAGCTCTAGTTTCTATGTATGTATGTAAACCCTGGAAAACCTGGGTTTCTTTTCTTTGTGTTTTTTTTTGTTTGTTTTTGTTTTGTTTTGTTTGTTTTGTTTGAGAGACAGGGTTTCTTTGTGTCTAGTTTGGCTGTCCTAGAACTTGTTCTGTAGACCAGGTGGGCCTTGAACTCACAGAGTTCCTCCTGCCTCTGCCTCCCAAGTGTTGGGATTAAAAGTATATGCCACCACACCAGCCAACCTGGTATTTTCATATTTTTTTTTTTCTGGTTGGTTGGCTACACAACCTTTCCCTTTAATAATGGCATCAGGGGGAAGATGAGCATTGTATGAGGAGATGTGACTCTCTGACCATCACACTGTGGAGACATAAAAGGCAGTGCTCTTTGTTTTTCACTGCCAAACTCTAAAAGAAGTGTAAAAGAAGGTTAGCAAATCCTGAGGGATGGCAGAAATCTTATCATGGGCCATCACTTAACAAACATTAACTAGGAGTTTTGAGCAGCTGCTGCAGTAGACTGAGAAAAGTGTTGTGCAGTTATTCCTGCTGTAAGTGGGACAGAAAGGACCAGGTTACAGGTAGTGAGGAGTGGCGCTTAGGAATGTTGCTGCCTCCCTGTGTTTCTGGTAGAGAAAAACAAGACAGAATTCCTTTAACCTACTGAAACAGTAGTTACAAGAGGGTTGTTTCTCACCTCTAGCTAGAGTATGTTAGGTCGATAAGATTAGCTTTGTAGTAGAGTCCATAAAAGAAACAGCAATGAAGCTTAAGTGTGTGTCATTACTTCTCTTATTGCTAAGATAAAATACCAAACAACAGTGACTTAAGGGAGTTTATTTGGGCTCAGAGCATCAAGAAATCTAGCCCATCGTGTTGGGCCTGGAGTCATGAAGCTGCTTCTTCACATGGTGGAAAACAGAAAGGGGAAGGAGGCAATAATCCACTAATGACCTGCTCCAGGGACCTTCCTCCAGCCAGCCTCCCAAAACGGGAGGTGAGCGTCAGAACATGATTCTGTGGGGGATATTCCAGACTCAAACTGTTTTATTCACACTTCTGGTTCATTTGAACCTGCATGGTTTTGCATATTATGTAATAGGTTCTTAGGAATCTTAGCATCAAACGGGTTTCTGCCCCACATCCTTTTTTAAATACCTGTTCTCAGTCCTAAGTTGACAGCCTTGCCATGAGTTTGAGCACTGTTTTCATTGAGCCTGTCTTTCTAGGTTTGCTCTGGAACTTGTCCTCTAGTGATAAACTCAAGCATCTCATGATAACAGAAGCCTTGCTCGCCTTGACAGAAAGTGTCATCATCCCATTCTCAGGGTGGCCGGAAGGAGACTACCCCAAAGCCAATGGCTTGCTTGACTTTGATATATTCTACAATGTCACTGGATGCCTAAGGTAATGCCTCCTTGTGTCCCCACCCCTTCAGATAGAAGGTGTAATCAAATAGGGCACCCAAAGAGAAGTTGAAATTGTTCTATTTTGGATCCTTTCTGTAATTACACAATTTAGTTTAGGTGGACTCTGCTTGGGTAGAAACAGATGGACTTTATTATAGTAAGATGTTTCTGTCTAGTTAGTTGCACTGTCTTAACTGTCTAGTTAATAACTGACTTAGCCAGGGTTACCATTACTGTGATAAAAAACCATGACCAAAGGCAAGTTGGGGAGGAAAGGGCTTATTTGACTTATATTTCACATCACTGTTTATCAAAGCAGGCAGTCAGGACAGGAACTCAAGCAGGACAGGAACCTGGAGCCAGGAACTGATGCAAAGCTGGTGGAGCCTTACTAACTGGCTTGTCCCACATGGCTTGCTCAATTGTGTAATATGGGACAGTAGCTAACTTTGCTGACAGAAGAAAAGAAAAATTAACTCCTTCCTATCACTCCCAGCAGTGCTGCCACCTGTCCTTAGACTATGTTTTCAGGTTTAATGACTTTCTATAACTCCAAGTTTCATATAGAACCCAGGACCATCAACTCAGGGGTGACACCACTCCCCTGGGCCCTCCCCACCAATCACTAATTAGGAAAATGCCCTACAGGCTGTGTACAGCCTGATCCTGGAGATCTCTCTCAGGTGAGGCTCCCTTTTTTTCCAGTGACTCTAGCTTGTTAATTAAGTTGACGTTAAACTAGCCAATACAATATCAAATATCATTATTATTTAAAACCTTGTGTTAGCTACTGGGGATTTTACAAAGAATACATAAATAAATAATAAATAAATGTACTGAATCACAGTTTAAATAAAATAGTAAAATAAAACACAGTAGCTGTAAAGTATTTGAATGGAATGAACGCACAGATGATCCACATGGAAACTGGAGAATGATCAAATGTGGCAAAGAAAAAGGGCTGGGGCTCACGGGATATGGTGCTGGCTTAGTGTGCACAGTCCCTCAGGTTGAAGGAACACTCAGCATCTGAAACTTGGAGTTGTAGAAAGTCATCAAACAAAACTGGAAACATAGTCTAAGGACAGGTAAATCATTTTGAAATGAGTAAATCAGTCTTTTTGAGAAATGTTTTCTATATTGAGCTTCAGGAGGTTAAGCAGTTACTTTGAAACCTGTCAACAGTTCCAAAGCTGTTAAAACCAGCCAAAGCCAGCCTTGTGGCCAGACTCCAACCTCACAGAGACTGTCAGGGAGCACACCTGCAGCCCTTTTGCTCTGGAAACCAGAATTTTCTGCAATTTCAGTCATATGCTTCCAAGGCTAGCAAAGATTAAAAATTGTCCTTCAGACTGGGTATGATGGTGCAGAGGCAGGTGGATCTCTTGAGTTCTGAGGCCAACCTGGTTTGCAAAGAGAGTTCCAGGACAGCCAGGGCTATTACACAGAGAAACCCTGTCTAAAACAAAACAAAAACAAACAAACAAACAAAAACATGTATTTCTCTTTGCTAGAGATGTTCTTTATTCCTGTTGCCTACTTTGATCAAGTCCCAGGGTGATTATTTTAAACACTTGAGTAAAGATAATATGGAGGAAGAAGAATCAATAAAACATAATTTTTTAAAATTTTTATTTGTGTGTATGTGTTTGTATGTATGTGTGTGTATGTATGTGTCTATGTCTGTTCATGTCTTCGCATGTATGTGTGTATTTTATGTGTGTTTGATGTATGTATGTTTGTATGCATGTATATGTTTGTATATGTGTGTGTGTTTATGTATATGTATTTGTGTGTGTTTATGTATGTGTGTGTGTGTGGTGTTTGTGTGTGTTTATATATATATGTATTTGTATGTGTGTGGTTGTGTGTGTGTTTATATGTATTTGTATGTGTGTGGTTGTGTGTGTGTGTAAGACAGAAGAGGAAGAACATGGTTATTTCTGTCCTCCATGGCTTCTGTGGATTTTACTCCCTCCGTGGGACTTTGCAAAAAGCACTTTCACCTGCTGAGCCATTGAACCATTCATGGAAGAATAACTTTTTCTTATATAATGAGAACTCATTTCACTTGTCTTTCTTCACTGATTAGTTTACAAGTCGAGTCTTGGGCATAAAAATCATTTCCCAGTATGTCATTGTCAATTTTTTTAAAGTTTTTTTTGACATTTTTTTAAAGATTTTTTTTTTTTTTTATGTATACAATGTTCTGCCCGAACGTATGCCTGCAGGCCAGAAGGGAGGACCAGATCCCATTGCAGATGGTTGTGAGCCACCATGTGGTTGCTGGGAATTAAACTCAGGACCTCTGGAAAAGCAGACAGTGCTCTTAACCTCTGAGCCATCTCCCCAGCCCATCAATTTTTTTTTAAAAAAGCATCTCAAAAAGTAGGGGAAAATGGCTGTGTATATATTACTTGAGTTACAGGTAATATCCTGTGAACTGTGTTTTATAACAGCAAATATATGTTTTTATAGAAAAATTGTGTGGCTGATCATAGTCAGAACTGTATCTTTAAAAACCATTTTAAATTTCATGATTATTTTTTGAATTGGTAGGTTTTGCTGATAAAATTACCCAGTGGGTAAAAGCTCATTTTGAGGCTGACAACCTGAGTTCTATTTCCAGAATCCAGATGTCCTATGATCCCTTATGCACTCTGTGGCACAAGGGCACCCACACATGTACGATCCATAGATAGATTGATAGATAGATAGATAGATAGATAGATAGATAGATAGATAGATAGATAGACTCATAAACTGATAGATTGACTTAAAACCGAAGGTTGTTAGGAAACACCCCTCAATCGTCAAGACTTTTTTTTCTTTTCATTGAAAATATTTTTTCAAACAATATATTTTGATTATTGCTTCCCCTCCCTGTATTCCCTCTCATTCCTCCCTACATCCCCTCCCATCTGGATCTATACCCTTTCTGTCTCAGACATTTAAGGAATGATAATAAAATAAGATTAAAACAAACAAATTGGTATAAAACAACACAAAGGAAAATACCCAAAGAGAAAGCAGATATAGGCACAGAGAGACACATTCTCACATGGAAATCCCGTGAAAACACAAAACTGGAAGCTATGATATACACAAAGGACCAAGAGGATTGAAAACTGATACTAACGCTCAGACTCGATATTACGAGACAAGCTCTGAAGATGCATGAAAACTTTTTTTCTTTAAAAACAACAAATGAGTAGATTTACAGAAAACAACTGACACCTCTGTCAGAAGACATCAAGGTACAAAATATCTACATATTCTGTCTCTCTGCCTTTTGGATAAATTCCTTAATCATCCACTAACAATCCAAACATCTCCTTTAGGTGTTAAATAAGCTTATTCAAGTTACAGTAGCTTCAGTGTATATTGTTTAAGATACAGTTTACTATTTATAATCACTTTAAATAGAACTTGGTATTCTACCCCAAACTATGCAAAATAGGTATTGCTACCTAGCCACATGCTTGATGACTTAACTCAATATTCAGATGGTTTTGAAACATTCAAAAAAAAAATCAGGAAAAGCAGAGCTAAGGATCACACACACACACACACCACTCTTTCTCTCCCCATAATAGAAGGAAGCATGGATGTGCCTTTGAAGTATAGCTGTGAATTCTTGTAACCTGTCTCTGTTGCTCCCACTTGTAATTAGAGACTGCCTGAGGCTAATGCTTGCTGATACCTTTCAGGAGCTGGTGTTGATTTTATAGTAACTGTCAACCCCTCCTTTAGCAGAGTTTTTGTTGCTCTGCCAGTTCCGAGGAGGTTTACTTTTCATCCTGAGCAACCGCAGCTCCCTCTGTTGCTTTTCCTTTGTTAGTCACAGATAAGCCTCAACTGTTGGATATAGATCAGATGGAAGTTAAATGAAAAACTGAGTCTACATCTCAAACAAGGGAAGAAGGCTGCTTCCTGATAGGCCAACATCTTACAGTCTGGAGTAGACTTTGCCAAATGCTTACCAAACACTTAATAGACTAGGCCTCCTTGGAGCTAATAGTGGGTGGAATTCAGGAGCCTGGGCCCAGAGCCACCAGACAATGTGTGAGAAACTACATCATCAAGTACAAATAACACTACTTATTTCTGACTCTTCACATGTTTCTTTTGTGGGAGAAGTGGCTTTACCAGCCCTTGTACCTGCCATTCTCATGTCCTCATAACTAGAGATAGGGCCTCAGATCTTTTGCCTTAAAACAACTGCATGTCATTTCATGACTTCCTCAGGCTCCTTGACTGCAGACTAGACACAGAGCTTCAAAGTATTGTTAACAGATTTCAGTGCTATCTACTGGCCATGTGAGAGCATACAAGAGCATTACCAGAGACATTATATGGAAGGGCCAGAGAAAATACTCTTTTTCAGTTCATTGCAGCAGTTCATTCTGATTTTAGATGCTAGTAATATGTCATGATTATGAGTGAAATTCTAGGGTACCATAGCTTCAGAAATGTTATAAAAATTACACCTGAATTGTTTACCATCATGTTTGGCATATACACTAAATTATAGCTATCAGTTTGATACTGTTTAATTATTATTATTATTTTTTGTTTTGTTTTTCGAGACAGGGTTTCTCTGTATAGCCCTGGCTGTCCTGGAACTTACTCTGTAGACCAGGCTGGCCTCAAACTCAGAAATCCACCTGCCTCTGCCTCCCAAGTGCTGGGATTAAAGGCGTGCGCCACCACTGCCCGGCAATTAATTATAAATTAATATATAATTATAAATATATGTAATTATGAAGTAGGTTTTCATATGGAATTTTCATAAGCATATTTTATTTTCTTTGATTCCCAGTCCTCCCCACTCCTTTTGTCTCCCTGACTCTCGTTTCTTGTTAGACCCTTCCCCAGTCCTCCCCACTTCTACTTTGCTCTGCTGTCTTCCCTTGCTTCACCCCCTGACCTGGGCCAGCAGGTCATTCTTCAGTGACAGGGTCATGATGGGGAAGTGGCAGGGATGAGGACAGTAGA